TTTTTTTTTTTTTTTGGTGCCCATGATTTCCCTTCCCGACAGAGCAACCTGAAAGGTAAAATCCCCCTTCCTAGCTCTCCTCCCTTCCTCAGGCCTCTGCGAGTGGCATATGGAGAAACTGAGGCCCAGCCTGGCCTTGGGGTGTGACTTCCCCCTCCACATTCTGCTCCTCAAGCCAGAGGTTCTTCCAGAGCAATCCGGCTCATCCCCTCTCTCCATGCTGGTGCGTCCCTTTGCCACCAGCTGCTCTGGACAGGCCCACGGACACTAGCGAATCTTTCTGGAGACAGGATCCCACAATAGGGACAAGCCTGGTTGTCCCCGCAGAGGGCGGCTTGGAGAGGTTGGAGCTGTCCAGTGCTGGTGGCAGGACCGAGCCCGGCCGTAGCGAGATGCCACCTGAGCGTGGGGACGGCTACACCGAAGTGCTGCCACTCAGCTCCTCTCCACTCGCTTGCTGCTCACGGGACCCCTGTGCCAACACAGAGCCCTGAGTCCTGAGCAGCTCACCACTGCTGGGGGGGACATAGGGATCTGTCCCAACAGGACCTGGGGGGCTTTAAGGAAGCTGTTTTCCCCACCCAGCCTTTGTCAAGCCAAGATGCTCCGTCAGGAGGAGCAGCCTGTGCACTCAGCTGGGTGTTTTGCTGGTAAAACCACCACTTTACCTCCTGCAGGGTCTTATTTTCCAGGCATGATGTGGCCAGAGGAGATCCTAGACCCTTAATTTTCAGGATGGCTCCTGGGAATGCCAAAAGTTGCGTAAGGGCATTTCACAAATTGTGGGGGAGCTGCTCCCTGCGCCCCCCACTCCAACTTCCCCCCATCCCACCGTCTCCGTCGGCTGGTCCCGCTGCCTGGATGGGGCCAGGCTGCAGTCCCCAGCTTGGGGAAGGCTCTGCCATCCCTGGGGCTCCGCATGGGCTTTCCATGACATCTAGCGGTCACCCAGGCAGGGACAGCTCCTCGCAGGGAGCCAAAACTCCTTCCTGGGATTTTCCCAGCTGGGTGCATGCAGGATGCTGCCCAACATGGTGCACCCCAGGGCTGCTGCAAGCTGCCACCCTCTCCGCTCCGGCAGCCCCCATGTCCCATCCCACCAGAGCAGAGCTCACCGGTGACACTGCCACCGAGCACGGCGAACAGCAGGGTGACGGGCAGCGCGCAGAGCTGGCAGAGCGCCTGGTAGGTGGCCGTCCTGCTGCCATCAGCAATGTGAGGGAAAGCCAGCTGCAGCCTGCACACCGAGGAGGGGACGTGTTTGGAGGGGACACATCCACAGGGTGGGCACCCTGGAAGGGTTTGCACGGAGTGTCCCCTATTGCAGCTGTCTCCAGTGTGGGTCCTGATCAGTGGGGACACTGGGGGCTCCAGCTGTGTGCACGGGGCCACCGTGTGATGCCACCGCGGGCTCCACTCACCTGTCCCCGTAAGCGTCAGCGGTCGCCAGCGCTGCGAGAAGCACCCCCAGCAAGGTGCCCAGGATTCCCGGCACGCTGTGCACGCCATGGATGCAGCGCGCATCCTGGATGCTCAGCTTGTGGAGTAGGGTGGGCTGTGGAGAGCGGAGGAGAGAGCCAGTACTCAGCAGATCTCCCTGCTGAGCGTTGGGCTTGCAAGGCTGGGTCAGCGGCAAGTCCCGTTTCTCCAGCAGAAACACAGCCCATGCCAAGCTCCAGTGCTGCAGGGCTCGTCTGACCCTGTGCCACGCTCCCAAGGTCACTCACTGCGAAGAATCTGGAGCTGAGCGGGGGTATCAGGCCAGCGAGGAATCCTGCGACGAGGGCCCCGAATGGAGCGAGCAGCATCTCCCCTGCCGTGCCCATCACGACCGCGCCAGCCACGGTGGCATCTTGGACCTGGCACTTTGGAAGACAGGACAGGCTCAGGGCAAGGGCTCTGCTGGCATTTGGGGACATGAGGGCTGAACGGGGAGGGGGACGGGACTTGTGACCCCAGGGTGGGTCTCAAGACCCCTGCACACAATCCACTGTCCCTCCTATCCCCTTGTCCACCCTGATGGATAGATGCTCACAGCCCCTACAGGAGAGTCTTGAGGTAGTGTGGACAACAAGGGTCGTGTCCCTAGGCCCTACCATGCATGGCGTGCCATCCTTGTGGAGGAGCGGGGACATGACGAAGGTGGCCAGGGTGCTGGCTGCCATCGCCACGTACGTGTTCAGCTCTGTCCAGGGCTCCACGCTGGCAGGGACCATAGCGGCTGAGACAAAGCCGGGCCAAAAGATCCACAGACAGACAGTTCCTGAAAGGAGAGAGGACAGGCAGGATGGGGAGCTGGGATCAGCTCTTCTTGCTTATGGCAGTGGCCGCAGATCGCAAGGATCTGGGCAGGTATTTGGGAAAATGTTTTCCTTCGTCGCAATTCCTACGTTGCTGGGTCTGCAGGATTCAGGGTCCATACCCGCTGCAGCAAGGACATCCGGAGAGTGTCCTGTGTCCTGTTGCTGCTCCCTCTTGCCCGCATGGTCCTGCCGCAAGATCCATGAAAGCGCCAAGCCAAAATAAGCTCCGAAGGTGTGGACGGTCAAGGAGCCCCCACCGTCGCTTACCTGGAGAGTACAGAAAACATCATGCTGGGAATTTTATATCAAGATGAGGCAGATCTCAACATAAAAAGGCTAGAAGAGATCCAGGATCACCTTTCAGGTGACCCTGGGGACGGGAACATACCCCTATCAGGTGGAGTAGGACATATTCGTTGGCACTAAACAGGGGAACTTCCAGCAGGGACATCAGCAGCAACTGGAGAGGGTTTCCCCAGCCCAGAAGAGCTCCTGTGGAGACCAGGACGGCTCCGGCACAGAAGACAGCACTGACCATGCTGGGAAGGGGATGGATAGAGGAAGGAAGTGTGGGGTGGGACCCAGAGGGACAGCGTGAGTATTTGTCCCAGTGATCCCCTTCCTGGTCAAAATAAAGGGAGAAACCAGTGTGTGAAGCCTAGATCTTGGGCCCGCTCTCCATTCCCATACCTCTGCGTTTCCATGTAAATCTTGCCGTTCTGGAAGGAGTAGAAAAACCCCTGGATGAGCAGGGCCCACTGGATGGCAAAGGCGGTGACAAGCAAGCAGGTGGCAGCGCTCTCCATTCTGTAGCGGCCGAGGAAGACCATGAGGAAGCCGAAGCCCATGAGGGTTTGGAGATGGACATTCCAGGAACCTGGTGCAGCAGAGGCAGCATAGAGGGGCTGGATGTGCAGAGGCTGGACTGCTTCAGGTCCCACTCAGTGGGATGGAAGAGCCTGAAGTGGTAGAGCAAGCCAGGCCAGGAGATGATGTCCCCATGAGTCACCTCTCGGGGTGGGGTGATGTGAGCCAGGGAAACTGGGAGAACCTGCCTGTTCAGCCCAGCTCTATGTGGGATTTTGCAGCAGTGCCAAAGCCCCACAGCTCCGTGGGGAGTTTGTCAGCCTCTGAAATGGCACAAGTGGCTGCTGGGCTTTGCAGGACACACCGTGGCCACCACGTGTGGCCACCACACACCGTGTCCTGTCACCACAGGGTGACTTCTACTATATTCTGGACCCCAGAATATCCCATATACTGGACCCTGGAGGTCCCACATTCCAGGTGTGGATTTGTCCAGGGAAGCAGACAAATTGCACCGAGGACTCAGCAGGATGCACAGGCACCCAGTCCCATCCAATGATTTTCTCCCCCTCCCAATTCCTTCTACTTTTTGCTCACCAACTTGGAAGCCGGCATGGGATAGGGATACTCACGCAGGTGGGATGACCCTGGTCCAGGGTTTCTCCTGCTGCTGCAGTTGAGCCGCGCGGAGCAGAGGCCAGGGCTGCCGTTTGGGCTGTACCGGACAAACACTGCGAAGAGGATGATGATGAGCATTTGGAGGAGGAAGCACATCCCGGAGACCTTGAGCCTCGAGGAGGGGGCATGTGGCGACATGCCGAATCCCGCGGTGGTCCCGGGCCCTGCCGGGAGCTGAAGGCTTTCCTGGGTCCCGCGGCCGGCGCTGGCTCCGCCTGTGCCCGCCGCCCGCCCCTGCTTCCCGCGCCGGGACGGCTGGGCGCTTCCGCACGCCGCTGCAGCCGGAAGAGCCCGCTCCGGCCTCCGCTGCCGGGGAACTCCGCTTGCTCCTTGTAAAACTCTGCTTTGGAGGGCTTAATCCTCCCACACCGCCAAGAAATGGCAAAAAAAAAGGGAGCGGATTTCCCCTAAATCTATTGCATGAATCTGTGGTGCCGTGCTGGGGTATCTCCTAAACATGGACCTTGTTCTGATAGGACCCCCATTGCCATGAGCTGGACCCGTCCCCATTTATCTGGAGGTCCCAAGAGGGTATCCAAGATCTGCATGGACAGGAGGAGAAGCTCAGCCTTGCAAAAGAGGGCACAGGACCAAGGCAGGGCTTTGTTTTCAAGCGAGGCTCTGCTTCCCCTGTGCCATCTTCACAGTTATTCCACCTCCTTTCTTTCCTTTGGCTTCCTCTGCTTTCGCAAATCCCCCCCAAAAAAAGTGAGGAAGCAAAAAACAAGCGAAATAAAACATTTGCTGGGCCAGTGCCTGGAGAAGTGTCTTTCCAAAGAGCGGGGCCAATTTGTGAGATCAGATAACTGAAAGGGAGACAGGGTCCCTGCGCCGGAGAAAGCGGGATGAGGAAGCGGGAGAGGCGCCGCGTGGGGATGAGTCACATTTGGACTAATCCGGGCCCTACTTTGGGCTGTAATTTGGTTAGGAGCCTCTCCTGGGGGAAAAAACAGCATGAAAATTCAGCACAGTCCAATTGTGTGGCTGTTTGGCAGCTGGCAGCATCCTCATACCATGCTCTGAGGTCCTGACCTTGATGCGTTTGGATTCAGAAGTCTGCAAAAATTTACAAAATCTGCACTGGCAATTTTGGGGCGGAATCCACTGTGTTTCTTCGTGCCACATCCCTACAGCTCTGACCAGAGCCCGGAGCAGTGCTGACATTTTCCCTGGCTTCTCCGGCTCGGCAGCGGGCAAATAAAGACGCGCTTGTTAGCAGGGCCTGCTCTGTTTTGCGGAGCAGAACAATAAAGAGAAAGACGCTCACAATGGGAAATTGTGCTTCCTCCTCTCCCCGCGTTCCTCAGGGAGGTGTTCGGGGGGAAAAAATAAGAAATAATGTAAAAAAAAAAAAAAAAAGGCGGGAATTGACGGTGCACGGCGCGGTGCTGGGGGAGAGAGGAGCCGAGGAGCCGGAGCAGGGCCGCGCGGCTGCCTCGGGAGGAGGCGACATCCGAGTCACCGCGGGCGCCTGTGGCCGACAGCTCCGGGTGCTGTGGATGGGACTGGTGGCCTGGCCGAGGACGTGGCCGTGGACGGTGAGCGGTGGCCGGGATGCGGCCGTGGTGCCACGGCGGGGTGGCAGCATGGCTTTGCTTGGGGACATCCCCGTGCAGCGGTGTCCCCGCAGCAGGGGCCAGCTCCAGGCAAGACGCCCCGATCCCTTTGCTTGTTCCCAGGCTCGTTCCTGCCTCCGTCTCTAAGGATGCAGCAGCTTCTCCTGCTCAGCTCACTGTGGCTCCTGGGGACCCCTCCAGGCGCAGCCATCTACCAGCACCCAACGGAGAGCCCAGGTAGGGAGGAAGGAGCCCATCCTGGTGGTGTCAGGGCTGCGGGAGGGAGGGATGCTGCAAAGCAACCAACATGCCAGGAGGGGACAGTAGGCCACTCGCTGGCCACCCAGGGGACCTAGGGGCTGAGCTTGCCATGTGCCACAGCCACCCCGCGCCTGCAGTACCTGCTGGAGCCCCTACACGCTGTGGTGCACACGTGGCGTGGTGCCACCGTCACGCTGCCCTGCGTGCTGCGCGCCCTGCCCAACGGCTACCGCGTGAGGTGGAGCAAGGTGGAGGCTGCCAGTTACCTGGAGAGCGTCATCGTTGTCACCAACGGGCTCGCGCAGAAGAGCTACGGGCCGCTGAGTCCCCGGGCGAGCCTGCGGCAGAGCCACCGCTACGACGCCTCGCTCACCATCGCCAACGTGGCGCTGGAGGACGAAGGGCGCTACCGCTGTCAGCTGCTCAACGGGCTGGAGGATGAGAGCGTCTCGCTCATGCTGCACCTCGAAGGTGAGGAGCAACGGTCTCCCAGGCTGAGCCTGGGACGCAGAGCATGGGGAGAGGCAGGACAGAGCTTGGTGGGTCCTGGTGGCTCCCAGTCCTTGGTGGGTCCCAGCTCCTAGCAGGTTCCAGTTCCTTGTGGGTGATGTCTCCCAGCTCCTGGTGGGTCCCAGTTCCTGATATCTCCCAGCCCTGATGCCTCTCAGATCCTGATGGCTCCTAGCTCCTGGTGGGTCCCAGCTCCTGATGGCTCCCAGCCCTGATGTCTCCCAGCTCCTGATGGCTCCCAGCTCCTGGTGGCTCCTAGTGCCACCTTGCTGGACACCAGCCTCCTCCTCAGCACCCTGGGATGTCATTAGCCAAATCCTCCTGGGGGAAGAGGCTCTCTGACACACTCCACCTCTGTCCCCCCACCCTAGGTGTTGTCTTTCCCTACCAGACCAGCACCGGGCGCTACCAGTTCAACTACCATGAGGCCAAGCGCGCGTGTGAGCAGCAGGACTCACGTCTGGCCACCTACCAGCAGCTCTACAAAGGTGTGGCCCTGCTCATCAAAGCGGTGCTCAAAACCCACCTCTCATCCCCAAAAAACCCCTCCCCAGCAGGAAAGGATCCTGGTGGCACCAGGAACCCCCATCCGTAACCCAACCTGCATGGTTTTGCCCCCACCCAGCCTGGACCGAGGGTCTGGACTGGTGCAACGCGGGCTGGGTGCTCGACGGCACCGTGCACTACCCCGTGATCAACGCGCGGGAGCCCTGCGGGGGCCGCACGCTGCTGCCGGGGCTGCGCTCCTACGGCGCGCGGGACAAGCAGCGGGACCGCTTCGACGCCTTCTGCTTCACCTCCGTCCTCAAAGGTAGGACCCGAGACCCGCCGGCGGCGCCCAAATGCGGGGGACCCCCGCAATGCACCGGGCTGGCTCTGATCCCCGGTGCCACCGCACGTGCCCACTCCCCCAGGCCACGTGTACTTCGTGCGCGGCCAGCTGAGCTTCGAGGAGGCCGCCCGTGCTTGCCGCAGCCGCGGGGCCGCCCTGGCCAAAGTGGGGCAGCTCTACTCGGCCTGGAAGTTCTCCCGGCTGGACCGCTGCGACGGGGGCTGGCTGGCCGACGGCAGCGTGCGCTACCCCATCGCCAGCCCGCGCCCGCGCTGCGGCGGCCTCCCGCAGCCCGGCGTGCGCAGCTTCGGCTTCCCCAACAAGGACCTGCGGACCTACGGCACCTACTGCTTCGTTGGGACGTAGGAGCGCCGGGAGAGGAGTCGGGAGGAGGGTCGGGATGAGCCTGCGGCGGGGATGGAGATGGGCGTTGTTTTAGGGTGGTTTCACGGGGTTTCTGCATTCTCCCGCTCTCAGGTGGCTTTTGGAGGCTCCCAGACCATTGGTGGGCTGGGATAAGGATCTGATGCGGACAGTACTATGTCCCCCACGTTCCCACGGGCTCTGGCACGTCCTTTCGCCTTCCCAATTAATAAAGTGATGGCAAAGACGCTTTCTCGCCTGGCTGTGATGGCCAGGCCTCTCACTCTGGGGAGTGCTTTGCCAAGGACTTTCTGTCCCGCTGGCCTCTTTGCTCCTGGGGAGCCTTATCAGTGTCCCTGGCTCAGCAGCGTGGGGATTTCTGCTGTTGACCTCTGGTGCTGCACAGAGCAGCTGGAAAAAGCCCCAGAGATGAGCACAGAGGTGCCAGCATCCCCTGGCAATGTGCCCCCCTAGCCCCTGTGTACACCGGGAACCACGTCCCAACCCTGCGCTTAACCGGTCCCCATTGCTCCTGGATGCTGGGATGTAGCAGAGGCTGCAGCTCCCTGTTATTTGCTTGCTTCATCCCGTCTCTTCCTCTCCAGGGCTGCCTCCAAATGATGCCACCACTCAGCCATGGGTTTATTGGCTTTAATATCAACAGCAGCCTGGGGGTTGGCCTAGGACAGCGGGGACACATGTGCTTGGAGCTGCCAGGACAGCAGCTCTTTCCTGCTTTCCCGGGATGCACAAATGTCCCCACATGGCCACATATTTACCCCACGTCCCCAGCATATGAGGAGCCGAGCATCCAAGGGTGACAGTGGCATCACCCTGCCCAGAGCTCCAGGGCTGGGTTTTGGCTCCGTTTCAACCGCAGGAACCAAGTGCAGAGGGAGGTTTCCCGCTGCTGAGTCTCTTGAGGGGGATCTTTAGTTATTAGAAAACCTTTATATAGGTAGAAAATGACCAAGAAGGCCCCAAAGGGGGAAGTCTCCCCACCGGTTTCAGTGCTGATGTCCTGGTTGCCACCTCTGTCCGCACCACGGCTGGTGGCTCCTGCCTGGATGACAGGCTCAGTCGTTGCGGATCTGAGTCAGGCCTTGAAGGGGACAACAAGAAGCAAAATTGCATGTCCAGGGAAATCAGACTCATTCCCAAGGTGGGAAAAGAGGGAGTTGAAGTCAGTACCGCCCCCAGCTTTGCCCCAAATTTGTCCTGAGTTGCACAGACTGGAGCAGGGATGTCCAAGGCTCCCGTGGCTATGGAGCAGTGCAAAATCGGGGGAAAATGGTGCAAAAATCAGGGGAAAACAGTGCTACGGGCTCACCGGGGAGGCAGAGCAGCTGGGGCTGTTCCCATGTCCCATCCTCCTGGCATCGGGCCACGGGCGAGCGGCGGCCGATGAAGCCCGGCCGGCAGCGGTAGCGTACGGTGGCGTTGATCTCGTAGTGCTGCTTCGCTTTGCCGAAGGGGCGGCCGTTGCTCACGGCCGGCGGGGAGCCGCATCGCACTGCGGGACAGCGTCGTCACCCAAAGCCCTCGCTTCGCCCCCAGCTCCCCCCCAAATGCCCACCCGAGGGGCATTTTCTGGGCAGCTGCCGCTCACCCAGGCCCATTTTGCACGTGTAGGAGAGGTGGTAGTTGCAGGGCACGTCGCTCCACTGGCCGCCGTCGTGCCAAACCATCACGACGCAGTTTTCCCCGGAGAGGAAATAGCTGTCGGGTTGCCCGGGGTGCCAGTTCTCGTAGAGCTTTGCAAAGGGGGCCAGGGCGTTATCACCCAAACCTCCCCCATGTGACCTCCCTCCCTCCGGTTTAATGCATCAAAAAGCAGCCCTGGGTGATTAGCCTGGTGTGTCATCACCCCACCTTATCTGCAGATAACGAGTGACTCATCCCATGGGATGTTTTCCGTGGGATGTGGAAGGATAAGGAGGTGCAGCCTGGTTTCTTCTCCTGGTGTGGGGGTGGGGGGGATGCTGAAGGGCCATCGCGGTGGGTTGGGGGTCCTGACTTACCAAAGGGCTCCCATCAGACCACTGGAAATCGCCCTCGATGGTCCGGTCGTTGAGGCCGATCCATTGGTATTCCCGGTACTGATCTGGGAGGGCTTGGTGGTTAGAGGAGGTGGGATGGGGTGCGGGGGTGTCTGCCAGAGGGGGATCGGGGGGAGTAGGGCCACTTATTCTGCCGTTTGGCTTCTTTGGCCAAGGAGGAGACGAGGGGAGCCCCAAGGGTGCATCCCCAAGGCAGGGTGATGGGCGGCGGGGCCGCTGGAGCCGGGGACCGCCAGGAGAGGGCAGCCTGTCCCCGCTGTCCCTGCATCTTCATCGAGGTCCCTGTCTGTCCCTCCTGTCCCTACCGGTCCCTGCGCCTGCTCAGAGGTCTTGCCTGTCCCTGAAGGCCCCTGCTTGTTCTCTGTCCCTACAGACTGTCCCTACAGGTCTTTTCTCTTCCTAGAGGTCCCTGCCTGTCCCAATGGGTCCTTGCATCTTCCTAGATGTCCCTACCTGTCCGTGCCTGGTCCTACCTCTCCCTGGAAGCCTATTCCTATCCCTGCTGTCTTTGCAAGTGCCTACCCAGTCCTGCCTGTCCCTGCCTCTCCTTACAGATCTGCGTGTCCTTTCTGTCCCGCAGGTCCCTTTGTCACCCTGGTCCTGCCTGTCCCTGAAGATCTCCGCTTGTCCCTGCCGTCCAACCTGTCCCTCTTCCCCCAGCAGGTCTCTGTTTCCTTGTGGAAATCCCTGCTCTCTCTACTTGTCCCTGCCCAGTCCTGCCTTTCCCTGGAGGTCCCTCCTGTCTCTGCTTGTCCTTGGAAGGCCCTGCCTGTCCCTGCAGGTCTCTACATGTCCCTGACTTGTTCTGCAGGTCCCTCCAAGTCCCTGCCTGTCCTTGCTTGTTCTCTCCCTGCAGGTGCCTGCTCCCTCCCTGCTTCTCACCTAGATCCCTCCAGGCACCTTTGTTTTCTGCACTGTCACTGCAGCTGCCTCCTGTCCTGCTCTTTCTCCTCTGCTCGCTGCTTCCTCTTCCACGCAAGCTTCCCCACGGCTCATTGCTTCGCTTTCAATTTGAGCTGGACGTGTCTAACTGCTATCAATCCACCAACTCATCCATGCAGCGATCCGTCTCCGTGCTCATCCACCCATCTCGAGATGCATCCACCCGCCTCCGCCGGAGCTGGGAGCGCAGGGCTTGCGGCACGTACCGTTAATGAAGTCCTGCTCTTCAGGGGTCAGGATGGTGGCCAGGTGGCCCCCGTAATGCCTGCACTGGCTCTCAGCATCCTCCCAGCTCCTCCGGGTGGAAAAATGCTTGTAGCAGGCGCCGTGGAAGCCGTCCCAGCCGGGGTTGCACTTGTATAGGGCTGAGTAGTGGCAGGGCACAAGGTTGGGGAGGAGAAAAGGGTCAAGGGACCCGAAAAGCAAAGTGTCACCTGCAGCCACCGCGTTTACACGGCACGGATGCGGCCAACGCGCTGAGGCCGCGCGCACTCACGTCGCTCGCAGGTGCTGCCGCCGTAACCGGGCAGGCACACGCAGCCCGCGCGCTCGCCGTCCTCACTGCACGTCCCTCCGTTGAGGCAGGGGTTGGGGACGCAGTCGTCACCTGCAAGGCACACGTGGTGAGCACCCCTGAGGGCAGCGGGGGACAGAGCTGGCCTTTCACAAAGACTGTCTGCAAAGCGCCTGGCTGCACGTGGTGGCTACTAGGTTCCTAATTTGGCTACTAGGTTGCTGCTTTGACCACTGAGCACTTGAAATCCCAGTGTGGAGGGGGAAGGACACGTGCACATGGCAGCATATCCAGGGATATGCTCCTGCTCCCAGATCTCACTGCCTGCCACATTTGTGGGAAGCGGTTGGCTCATCTCGCTGGGTTCAGAGCTGGCCAGCTCGGTGGCTTTGGCCACACATGCGCACGAAGGGACACAAGCTGCCCGGTGCATCAGCTCCCTTGGTCTGGGACAGCGCTGACAGAGGCCACTGGTGTCCTGCCGGAGCAGGGGGCTGCTGTGTCCCCAGAGTGGGACACAGCGTCCCCTCCCGCACCCCGGTGGCCAGGGACACAGCCTCAAGTGCCACAGCGAGACGCGCCCGCTGCCCTGCAGAGCCGCTGCCCAGAGCCCGTCACCCTTGGGACACAGCGTACCCGGAGCGCAGCGCGTGCCACCCCCCCGCCGCCCCCTTGCCACGAAGCGCCAAGTCCTTGTCACTAATCTAGCGGCTTCCGTGCAGTGGCCTTGGTGACGCTGCTGGCTCCGCCAAGGACATCGCCGCTGCTCCGCTTCACCCCGCCGCGTCCGTCTGCTGGCACCGGAGTGCCAGCGAGCCGGAGCGCCGAGACGCCGGAGCGCGGCTTATTTTAGGACCCCCCGCTGCCTCTGGCTTGGGCTTTGCCACGGGGCGCTTGCTTGCTTGCTTGGCGCCCTGATCACGGCAGGGTTTTAATTAAGCCACTAATAGCCCCCCTGCCAAGCTGCTTCCAAGCCGCAGCAGAGCCAGGAGCAGCTTGGCCTGGGGGCTGTTTTGGGAAGGGGGGATGCAGTCGTTCCCACCTTGGAGCGTGCCAGGGGGATGCTTGCAGGGGGGCTGCTTGCAAGGAGCTGCCCCTCAGCTCGGCAAGCTCCCGCCGATGCAAAACAGATGATTTCCTCTCAAAACGCAACCCCTCTACGTGGGAGAGTCTCCGGAGGCGGCGCGTGGCAGGGTGGGGGGAGAGGGGGTTAGTGCATCAGTAGGACTTGCGCAAGGACTCAGGGATGAGCTCGCCGAGGTGCTTGTTCTAGAAAGCTTTTAATTCCCTTTATTAGTACTGGTTAGTCCAAGTTGGGGGGGGTGGGGACTTCTTTTGATTTTTTTCCAGTGGTTTTTTTTTTTTGCTTTTTTGTTTTTCATGGAAACAGTCATTAAAAACACTTCACAGAAGTAGAAGAGGTTTAGGCGCATGCAGAGCTTGGAGCAATTTGTTTGACAAATATGCGCTTCCTCCGGACCTGAAACCTTCCCTCATCTGGCTGCAGCGACGGACGGACAGACAGACGGACACGAGGGGCAGGCGGCCGCTCTCCCTAGTGCCAAAGAGCCGCCAAAAGGGCCGCTCCGAGTGCCAGGGTGGCCCCGTCCCCGGGGCGGCCCGGAGGGCTCCCGCTGGCCCCACGGCTGGCTCGCTCCGTGGGGCGCCCGGGGGACAGCTCAGCCGTGGGGGTCCCCGCCGGCCTGGAGCCCCCTCCAGAGGGGCCCTGGCTGCGGGTCCCACCTGGTTCTCCAGGGAGGACTGCAAGGAAACCCTCTATGGTAGCCACGGAGGGAGTGGGCTGCCCTTCCTCCTCCTCCTCCTCTTCCTCCTCGTCCGCGGATGTGCCGGGCGAGGGGCTCCCGCCGCCGGCTTTGCCGTTTGTCCCGCCGGCCGTGGCCTCCACCCCGGCCGGGGACGGCCACGGGGCGCCCGACTGCTCCTCGCCGTCCTCCGGCGGCGAGGCCGTGGCTGCGCCGGGAGGCAGCGGCACAGTCGGCCCCTCGGATCCTCCGGCGCCGGGCGCCACCTCCCCGGAGAGCTCCGCATCCTCCGCGGGGCCCGGCCGGCCCGCGGGCAGCGTGCCTGGCTCCCCCGGGACATCCGTGGAGGCTGCAAAAGCCAAGCGGGTCAGCGGCGGCTCCGGGGTGTTCAGGAGAGCCTGGAGCGGCCCCTCGGCATCACCTGCAGCCCCTCGCTCTAGCGGAGGGGGTTCTGCAGATACATCCGTGGAGGATCCCATCTGGAGGAGCACGGAGAGGGTCTGTTCGGGGCTGGCTGCCTCCGTGGGCTGGATGTCAGCGCCGCCACTCTCTGCTGCTGCCAAGGAGCCTCGGGGCGATCCTGGCTCTGTCTCCAGCTCCTGCTCTGCAACAGGCAAGGTGGAAAAGCCGTGAGACGCTTCCCCTGGTGCCGGTGAGAGACCCCGCAGAGCGGACGGGACCGGCACCAGCAAAACCTCGGAGCAGGTTGGCTCCTTCCCCATCTGCAGCCACCCCCCTCTGGAGCAGCCAGCATGAGCAGGAATATCCCTCCCCCATTCCCAAAATACTCCCTCCCCGGCATTTTCCAACAGGGTGGCCACAGCGCCGAGCTGCAGCGTGATGTCCCACCCGCCCCATCAATCCAGTGTTCCCAGCAGCTGCCCGCTCAGCAGCAACGTCCTGGTGCCATGCGGAGCTCTGACCAGTGCTCCAACCTCCAGGCTCAGTCTTCTTGCCTCCTCTGTGGCCACTAGCCCCCTCTTTGCACATCCCAAATCCTGGACTCCCCTGGGATGAGGTGGGAAAGTCCTCAGCAGGTGCCTGGCATGACCATGCGTGGTGGTCCGCACCGGATTGGGATGCAGCATCCTTCCCAATGGCTCCCTATGGGAAACTGCTCCAGAGGCCAGCGGGTGCCTTGGCCCCAAACTGGGGTCGGGGGGTTTCCTCAGGTACCTCCAAATGCTCCCTGGGGTGACACGGTGGGGGGGACGGGGCCAATGGCCGCGTCCGCAGGGGCCGCGGTGGGGAAGGGGACGGCGTAAATGGCGCCGCGCGACTCGATCTCCACGTGCGCCCCGGGCAGCCGCAGCTCCTCCAGCTTGTCGGCCACGCTTACAATCCCGGGAAGGCCCTCGGGCTCTCGGGCTTTTCCTGAAGCCTCGGGGATTGAGTTTGTCCCTTCTGTGGGCAGAAAGAAAGTGGGATATTACTGCCTTGTCCCTGGGAAGAGGTGAGATGCTCCGGGTGCCAAAGCCTTGCAGCCTTCCCTAGGGATAGTGCTGGCACAGGGTTTGTTTTGGGGAGGGGGGTCTGGGTGTCCTCCATGAATTTTCTCCTGGGAAATGGGTCTCCATGGGGCCTTTCCAAAGGATGTTGGGAGGAGAGGCCGGGGCTCAGGGTGCCTCTGCATGGAGAGGGCACATCTAGGCACGCTGGAGCCAGAGAGAATGTGGATCCCTTGGCAGGAGCCCAGCCAAAGCCGGGGGGACGCACATGTCCCCTTCTGCTGGCAGAAGGGGAAACTGAGACAGAGAGCTGCGCAGTCCCTTCAGATCGTGTTAGGAAGCGGAATCGCTGGGATGGCACCTGTCCCCAGGGCATCCTGGCCACTCAGTTGCTGCAGCTACCCATGGTGGCTTTTCCCTGTCACCTTGGACCCCCCGCTGCCCCACCACAGCACTAGGAGCCACTTGAGCAATTTCGCGTCCTTTTTATCCTAATTTTGCTCCAAATGATCCTCGTGAGTTGCCCGGAGAGCCCCAGAGAGCCCTGGAGAGTTGGGAGCTGCACAGGGAGCCAAGCACGAGCCCAGCCAGCCGCTGGCAGCGCATGACGTGGCCCCGCTCTATCGCGATATGACAGTGCGCAGCCAGGCAGGTTATCGCGCCTCCGCTGCGATATGTTGCCTCCTGTTGAGCTCATGCAAGGCAGACCCTGTCCCAACACACGGCACCGCAAGCGTGCCACGCGCCTCCAACGCTGCGCCAGGACTGCGGCTCACGGAGCATGCCAGGAGCGCGCCAACCGTCGCAACAAGCAAGCGCAGCACAACCAAGAGCAGCGCTAAGCGCGCGGTGCAACAGCGGTGCACCCCACCCAGTCCAGACACCCCAACGACGACCCCGGGAGCATCCAGGTACCCTTTCCTTTACCTCGGAAGCAGTAGGCGTCGTATCTGCTGTCGGCGTCGGGGAAGCCGGTCTGGTTGCGGAAGAGGAAGATGCTCTTGACGCCCGGCAGGCTCCCGCCGCAGCGCTCGCGGGGGGTGACGATGGGGTAGCGCACGCTGCCGTCCGCCAGCCAGCCGGGGCTGCACGAGTCCAGCCCGCTGCTCCAGGCCGCATAGAGCTGCCCCGTGGTGGCCAGGGTGGCCCCGAGCGCGCGGCACCGCGCCGCCGCCTCGGCTAGCGTGAATTTATCCGGCGCCGTCTCCAAGAAGATCTCCCCTGCCGATGGGAGCGGGGAGGGAGCGTCAGAGGCAGCAAGTGCCCCGCGGTTGCGATTTTGGGGGCTGCAGCATCACCCGAGTCGTGAAGCAAAGCGGGTATTTAAACCCCGTGGCACGTGAGCCTCAAGAACGCCACACGGAGCGCGTCACGTCAGGCTCACCCGCCAGGTCCTGCGCGTAGCAGTAGACATCGTACATGTCCTGCGGGTCCACGACGCCGTAGTTGCGCACACCGGGGACGCCGTTCATGTCCCCGTAGCAGGGCTCGCGCGGTGTGTGAATGGGGTACCTGGGGGGCACAAGGGGCGGCTGGTGGCTGCAAGCCCCCCCGCGGCGCTGGCCGAGCGGGGGTCCCCGCGCACTGCCCACCTCACAGTCTGGTCGGCCAGCCAGCCGGCGTCGCACTGCTCATAGCCGCTGCGGTACGCGGCGTACAGCTGCTCCGGGGTGGCGATGCTGGCGCCCAGGCGGGCGCAGGCGGCGCGCGCCTCGGCGAAGGTGTAGGCGTAGCGCGCCGAGCCCTCGCGGTAGTGAAACACCACCCCTGCGGGGCGGCGGGGTGCTGCTCCGATGCACGCTCGCTGCCCATAGCACCCACCAAGGCCCCACACGCCCCTTGTACCCATCAGGGTCTGGCCAGCCCTTGCAGCCGTGAAGGTTCCAATCACTCTTTTGCACCCTCCAGGGTCCAATCACCCCTTTTCCCCCACAAAGGGTCCAGCCGCTTCTTTGCATCCATAAAGGATCCAATCTTGCACCCTCGAAGGGTCCAACCACCCCCTTGCACCTTACAAGGCTCTGACCACCCTTTTGCACCTAAGAAGGGTCCACCCGTTGCACCAGTCACGACCCAGCTGCCCCCTTGCACCCACGAAACATCCAATCACTCCTTTGCACCCCCAAAAGATGCAGCCACCCCTCTGCACCCACAAAACATCCACTCCTTGCACCCCTAGGATGCAGCTGCCTTTTGGCACCCACTCGCGAGGGGTCCAGCTCCCCCTTTGCCCCCACCAGCCTCCGACAACCCCTTTGCCACCCTGAAAGCTCCGGCCACTGCAGGGTCTGGCTGCCACCGCCACCCCAAGGCCAACGGAGCCGCTACCTTTGACCTTGAGGTGCAGGACATCGTGGCCGTCCTCGATGCCGTGCTGCACGCGGCACCGGTAGATGCCCGAGTCGTTGGGGCGCAGCTCGGTGAGCAGCAGCGAGGCGTTGGTGTCGTGGCGCGGGAAGGCGGGCAGCGAGGCGCGCCGCCGGTACGGCTCGCTCACCTTCACGCGCTGGCCCCGCGCCACCAGGATCTCCCGCTCGCGGCCCTCGGCCACGAAGCTCCACTTGACGCGCGGCGTGCCCAGCGCCGCGCGGCGCCTGCTGCTGTCCCCTGGCCACACGTAGGTGACGAAACACGGGATGGTCACCTCGCCTGCCAGCACGGCGTGCAGGGCCGGGTGTCGTGGGATGGACACCTGCAGCGCCTTGGTGTCCTCTGGGTGGCGGGAGGAAAGGGACAGTGAGCAGACATGTGTCATCCCCCTCAGGATGTCCCCAAGTCCCCAGGGAGCCCTTACCTGCGCTGTCCCCAGGGGTAAAGGGGTCCTGTGCAACCGCGGGGACGAAGGCGCAGACCAGCAGCAGCACGAGGGACGAGGCCATCCCGGGTCCTGCAAGGAGGGGACAGCCCCGCCGGGCTACACTCAGCCTCCAAAACCCCTTTCAAAGGGACGCATCCCCTCTCCGTGCCCAAGGGCTGCAAGGAGACAGAGTGATGCCTGATGCAAGAAGCCCATTTGGAGGAAACTGGAGTAAAACAGCGCATGTGGATCAGACCCAAGGAGATGTGTCACTGCACTGCAACAAGGCTCTATTTTTTATTTAATTGTTGGGGTTTTAGTGAGCCTGGATGCCAGAGCCGCTGGCTTGGGGAGTGTACTGTGAGCGTGTGGGCGCTCGTGTGCATGCACACACGGGCGTGCACTAACGCATGCATGCATGGGTGCATGGGTGTCCCGGTGCATGCATGGGCTTGCTTTGCCGTCCACACTGCCCCTGCGCAAAGCACTGGAGCCAGGGAAGGACCGGCACGGGATGGCTCCTTGTTGCCATTCCGCTCACGGCAGAGGCTCCCTGCTCGCGGGCTGGGAAAAGCTGGACCCAGGCGCTGGCACCATCAGCGCACGCTCCACACAGGGCCTTTTCCTGCCTGGGGAGAGTGTCAGGGCTCCCCTGCTCCCCAAAACAAGGAGGCGGTGGGTCCTGTCTTGGATGGTCTCTGAGCTCCACGTGCTGCATCTATCCCAGCAGCTGTGGGAGTAGGTCTGGCTTGCACAGCTCCTAGCACCCAGCACCATGGATATACAGCACCCAGCACCTAGCACTGTGGATATACAGCGCCCAGCATTGTGCATGTATAGCACCCAGCACCTAGCATCATAGATATACAGCACCCAGCACTGTGCTTGTACAGCTCGTAGCACCCAGCATCGTGCACATACAGCACCCAGCATCATGGAGAGACAGCACCCAACACCCAACACCATGCACATACAGCACCCACCACTATGAATATACAGCACACAGCCCCCAGCACTGTGCATGCATAACCCCCAGCACCCAGTACAGTGCACGTACAGCACCCAGCACTGTGCATGTACAGCACCGAGCACCATGCACATACAGCACCCAGCACCATGCACTTATAGCACCCAGCACCATGCACTTATAGCACCCAGCACCCAGCACCATGCACCTGTAGCCCCCAGCACCCAGAACTGTGCATGTACAGCACCCAGCACCGTGCACATACAGCACCAAGCACCGTGCATGTACAGCACCCATCACCATGCACCTATAGCCCCCAGCACCCAGCACCGTGCATGTACAGCACCCAGCACCGTGCACATACAGCACCCAGCACCCAGCACCTATAGCCCCCAGCACCCAGCACCATGCACATACACCACCCAGCACCATGCATCTGTAGCCCCCAGCACCGTGCATGTACAGCACCCAGCACCGCGCACATACAGCACCCTGCACCATGCACCTATAGCCCCCAGCACTCAGCACCACGCATCTATAGCCCCCAGCACCCAGCACCATGCACATACACCACCCAGCACCATGCACCTATAGCACCCAGCACCGTGCACATACAGCTCCGAGCACCACACACATATAGCCCCCGCATGTATAGACCCCAGCACCAAGCACCATGAACCTACAACCCCTAGCACAGCGCACACAGAGCACGGGGCACACAGAGCCGCCGGGACGGAGCCGGCAGCAGCTCTCGCCCTGCCCACATCATTGGAATTCCGTCTCGCTGCTCCGGCAGGGACAAAGCGCTCCTGCGCGGAGCCGTGGCCGGGGGCCAGCTTGGGGGCTGGATGGCAGCCCCGGCCCTGCTCGCCTTTTGTCCCCGTCACCTTTTCTTCCCGTTCCCAAGGCATTGGTGAGGAGCGAGGCGAGGGAGTGGGGCCAGGCAAGCCGAGGACGCCGGGGCCCCCCCAGCCACAGGCTTCCCTCTGAATCCCATCTCCCAGCCCCTGGTTAGGGGTGAATGGAAAATTTCCAGTCCCTGGAGGGGGAAAACTGGGGGCAAGCACAGTGAATAAGTGGGGAAAGGGACACAGGCACTCAGTGTAGATTCTCCAGTGGCTCGTAACAGGGTTGAGCCCCCAACGTTCCAGCCGATGGGGCTCTCCCCTCCTCAGCTGCCTAAACCTGGGGACACTTTATCATCTCTGAGCCCTCGCCTGGAGCCAGAGCCCGGATTGAGGAAGAGGCTGCAGCAGCGGGGAGTGGTGGGGAGGATGCGCCTCGTCCCCCTCCACGTGACGGTGGCTCATGCCGGCCGCCAAGGTGCCCTGCCAGCCCGCAGCGAGTGGCGCGGAGGGGGAGGACAGGGGACGAGGCCAGCGGCTTTCCAGGGACGCGGAGCTGCAGGGTGAGTCAGCAGCCGCGGCGGCAGCGCCTGGCCCCGCTCCAGGCAGCAGGCGAGCTGCCTTCCCGGGACAAAACGGCCCCTTTTCCCCCCACCAAGCCACGGGCACACTTGGATTTGCACCTGGCTGCGTGCGGGATTGAGCCGGCATCTCCAGACCAAACCCTCCCTGCGAAACGCGCTGCAATTCCAAGAAAAGACTATTCACTTTTTATCATTGGAAGTGGTGATGGAGGGGAGGCAGGGGGCGGGGAACCATCCGTGCATCTGGATGCAGCGGATGCAGGGATGGGATGGAGCAGCAGAGGAGGGGGCAGCCTCTTGGCAGAGGGAGCTGGCAGGGCTTAAAAGCCCGGAAGCAGCTGGGGGAAAGGGGACGGGAAGAGGGGGGTCCCTCCGGTGGGGGGGGGTCCCTCCGGCCGCTGGAGCTTCCCGAGCTATCGGCAGCAAGGAGAAAGGGGGTCCTTGTTGCAGCCGGGTAGGAGGGGTGATGGGCTCGAGGGGGCTGGGAGGGCCCAGGCGTCCTGGCCCCGGCATCCTCCGGCTCACTGCGCTGGCACGCAAGGAAAACCAAGGTGAAATGTTTCCCAGCGGAGCGGCTGGGAGCGCCGGCTCGTGGCTCTGGCATCAGCCCTCAGGGAGGGAGCAGAAAGTGCCGGGATGGCAGAGGGAGAGGACATCGCTGATGGGGAAACTGAGGCACGAGCTGGGGAAAAAGGTGGCACTTGGTGCCTGGAGGATGTCCCTTGGCACCAGCGGCACATCCCGTTCCCTCCAGCATGGGAAGCCTCCAGACGGGCACCTCCTCAGTGCTGCATCCTGCCCCCTCTCCAAGGAAGAACCCAGCTCTGCCCCCAGTTTGCCCAGTCTAAACCCGTTTTCCCAGACCGACATCTTCAGGGGGTCCCCTTAAGTGCAGGACCTTGATGTTCATCTCCCTAGAGCTGGGATAAACCCAGACTTAACAAGAAAGCTGCGGCATGCAAATATCCTGGGGTCAAAGTGGGTCTTTCCCAGCCCTACGGCATCCATATGGAGAAGCAACAGGTGCTGGATTTCATCTGGGCTTTCCATGGCCCACTCTGGACCAGGGGGGCCATGGCCCACCATGGCCCCCCTGGATGGTCCAGGGTATCCCCGTAATGGAAAAGGGAGCAGCTCCCAGGCTCGGGATGCTCCAGAGCAACATCCTGGAGCCAAACACTCTGGGAAGTGGAGGGCAGCACAGGGACCCCAAATCCCCCCCAGATGCATCTTTCTTTCTCCCCTCCTCTTCCCACAATGTCCCGTGCCTCAGTTTCCCTCTCTTGGTGCCAGCACTAGGGAATTCTGCAGGATGGAGAGGGTCTCCCACTAGCCCTGTGCCCCCCCCAGTCCCTCAGTAAAAATATTAGCTATATTTCTCACAGGCTAAAATCTCTTTTTCTGCCTAAATTAGAAAGAAAATTCTGATTTCCCCACTGAAACCAACCCTTCAACACAGCAGAGCTGACTTGTATTAAAATATATATATATATATAATATATATAAAAATACTTGCAGATGCAGAAGGTTGCTGGGCTGCCGGGCCCTGGGGGGACCCACTGGTGCCAAGGACAAACCTCCCGCTCCGGCATTCTCTACCGCGGGTCCCTCCCGGAGGGGACAAGCGGGATCGACCTCCCATCCCTGTCCCAGCCTTTTCCCGGCAATAATGAGGAACAGCCCAAAGGAGACCTTCAAACGAGCAGCCTTGACCCTCCCTCCGGCAGCAGCATCCCTTCCCGGGGCGGGGGGCCCTGCTCGCATCCCACCTCTCTCTGGCGTTCCCGGCGCTGGCGGGAGAGCAACTTTGCGGGCGCAGGGCGAGCCGGCGGGGGCCGCGGGCGCGCGGCGCCGCAGCGCCCAGCCGCAGCTCCGGAGGGAAAGCGCAGGCACGGGATGCGCCGGGCGGCGGGACGGCAGCGGGGCTGGGAGCGAGCTGCGCTGGGCATAAGTGCAGGCGCTGGGAAAAGAGGAGAGCGCCGTGTGCGTCCACGGCCGCGCCGCCTTTTTTTTTTTTTTTTTTTCCTTCTTTTTTTTTTTTTTTCCACTCCTCCTTTTATACTTTCTTCCTTCCCCTAATTAAAGAGAGAGAAAAAAATTACTACCGTGCTGGCAAGTGGTTGGTCCCTCCCCTTCCCTCCCTCCCGGCAGCTGCCAGGAGGCAGCGCAGGATCCCAAGCAGGGAGCAGAGGATGCTCCAGCCAGGCAGATGCAGCTTGGAAGGCGAGTGAGGGCTCCAGGTACCGGAGCATCCTCACGGCTCGGGGCTACAGGATGGGCTCTTGGTAGCCAGGAGGGTTTTGTCATGCACGGAGGTGATGGAAGGGATGCTGCAGGACGAGGTGGGTCCCTGTGAGCTGCTCCAGCTGGCACCCACCGCCCACTTTGGAGATGGGCATGCCAAAATTCAGCCCAATTCCAGCAGTGCTCCAGTTATACAGAGGCAATGTAGCCTCACAGCACATGAAAACCCATGGGAGCATCCTGGCCTGTGCTGCAGCCCACTCCCGCTTTCCCAAGGGGAATCATCGGGGAAGATGCTCAAAGCCACATTGGGCTCACACTTTCCCCCACAAGCGACTCCTTTTCCCTGGCATGGTCAGGGAACCACTGGTCACCCAGGGAAATAATTAACGGCTGCTTGCAAGCTGGAACCTCATCCCGAAAATCTTAGAGCGCCGGCATTGCAGCCGCTCCTCGGCTGGTGAATCACATCCGCTGCCGGGAATGCTTGTGGCAAAGTCCTGGAGCCTGGGGAAGAGCCGAACTGCAAGCTCAGCAAGGAGGCACGAGCCATAATTGAGACCAAGTGTTCCCGCAAGCGCTCCATCCCAATCCCCTCTTGGATTTCCTGGGAACTTTGCACCATGGCCATTGGTGGGAGAGAGCTCCTGGAGACCCTTGGGGGTGAAGAGGAGCTGTCAGTGAAGGGTGGCGGTAGGAACACAACCCTTATCAGACATCAGAGAATCCACAGGTGCCCTCCCCTTCCCCCGTTCCCGCAGGCTGTGGCAAACAGCTGCATCACTGCCTTTCACTGTGCCGTGAAAGGAGCCCCATGGCCCAGCTGGCCTCCCTCCTCCTCCTCCTCCTCCTCCTCCTGCTTGCCCTGGATCCTGCTCACGGCCACGTAAGCAGCGCCCGCCGTGCGACCTCGTGCCAAGCTCCCTGGCACCAAACCAGCCCCCAGATGCCACATGTCCCACATGCCCGGGGCTCAAAGCAGCAATTCCCAGTTTCCCTGCATCCCATCGGGATCCAGGAAAAGCGAGGCCTGAGGGGAGGGGGTGCACAGACATTCCTGTCCCGGAAGGTCCCTGCAGGAGTACATGGGCATCCCTAGGGAGTTCTGACCCCCGTCATCCCAGACATCCCATCTCAGGGAGCTCCCAACCTCCACTATCCCGGACATCCCATCCTGGGGGACTCCTGACTCCACAAGGACACGGACATCCCCAGCTCCAGGGGTTCCCATACCCCAGAATCCAGGACAGGCCCATCCTAGGGGTTCCTGTCCCCAGCATCCTGCAGGAGCACACAGACTCCTCAAGAGCTCCTGACCCCTGGCATCCTGGACATCCTAATTCTGGAGACTCCTAAATACCAGTATTCCATCTGGGATTCCATTCATTCCATTGGGAATACACATGGACATCCCCAGCCCTGGGGACTCCCAAACCCCATCACCCTGGGCCACCCCATCCCAGGGGACTCATGACCCCAGTCACGAGTGTCTCCTGCAGAAACACATGGACATCATTGACTTCAAAAACTCCGGACTCTCCTCAGCATCCCTGAATTCCCCATCCCAGAGACTTCTGCCCCCCAGCATCCTTCTAGGACATATTGACATCCCTATCCCAGAGGCTCCTGATCCCCAGCATCCCTCCAGGACACATGGACATGTCTATCCCAGGGGGTCCCCTGTCTCTGGGAGACTTCCAAATAGTAGCTCTGCTCCCAGCTTGCATCCCAGACAGATAGTCCCAGTTTGGCCATCGAGGGGACATGAGGAAAAGACACAGAAAAGGCATGAAGAGGGATGGAAGGAGACAGGAATGGGATGAGGGTTGGAGCTTCCAGCATGACCATGGGCCCTGGGGGCCTCCTTGTGGCCACTGCCGATGCTTCGGTCCTGGCTCCCTTCGGATGCTCCTGTGGAGCTGGAGAGCTTGGCACCCATGCAGGGTGCTGGGAGAAAACTGAGCCTGAGAAAGCCCTGGTGCAGAAAATAAAAAAAAAAAATGTAGAAAAAAAAAAGAAATATAAATGAAAAAAGGATGAAAAAGAAAAAAAAAAAAAGAAAGCAAAAAGCAGGACAGCAGGGACAAGCAGCCTGCCCCAGTTAGCATCCCTTAATTAGAAAGCAGCAGTTCCCAAGAGCTGCTTAGCTTCTCTGGCAGCGGATGGTGCCCCAGAGAAAGGCAGGATGGGTGGGAAAAGGTAGGATGGGTGGGTGAAGGTAGGATGGATGGAAAAGGTAGGATGGGTGGGTGAAGGTAGGATGGATGGAAAAAGGTAGGATGGGTGGGAAAAGGTAAGTTGGATAGGAAAGGTAGGATAGGTGGGGAAGAGCAGCATGAATGGGTAAGGCGGGATAGATGGGAAAGGCAGGGTGGATGGGAAAGGTAGGATGGATGGGGGAAGATAGGAGAAGCAGGGAGAGGAAAGAGTGCAATCCAGATCCAGATCCACAGCGCTGGATCCCTTGGGAAGGGCTGAGCCGCCGCAGCAGCCCAATCCCAGTACAGTATTCCCATGCAAGGGATGCGGAAGCCCATCCCTTGGGGAGCATCGCGGCAGAGCTGGGACTGTCCCCCCAAAGCTGGCGGGGCGCGGGGCCGCACTGGCAGCGCCCGGTGGCTTTTGCCAGCAGAGGGGACTGTTGCTCTCCTCTCCGGAGGCACCAGGGCTCCTGAATGAGATAAGGACAGGGCAGGGACCAGACCTGCCCCCTCATCCCCCCTCCCCGAGAGGAAAACCTCCGGGAAAGGAAGAGTCAGGGAGAATTCCCATTCAAACTTTTTTTTTTTTTTTTTTTTTTTTTTAATGTCTGGGTCTTTTGTTTGCAGAAATCCCCATAGTTGGAGTTTTAAACCTCCCCTCACCCTGCAAATAAATCATCTGGTAACTATAACTTTCCTCCCGCTAAAAAATGCTCCCCAGGGAGCCGTTCCCATCCCGCCGGGAAGGAGCTGCCCCGCACGGGTGAGAGGCAGAAGCCAAAGCGAACACCCAGCTAGTGGCTGCCGAGCGGTGCTGGAACCAGGATCAACCTGCAATGAGATTCCAGTCGGATCCAGCTGTGCAACATCTGGGAAGAGAGGGGTTTGCAGCTGTATGTTTCCAGTCGGGTTTGCACGGCAGAGGGAGGAAGGGGCTCTGCTGGGAATACTCCCATCCTCTGCCAATTCCCTCCCTGGGAATGGGTTTCTTCTCTTGGAAATGCCCCCAAAGGGCTGTGCCAAGCCTCACCGGAGCAATTCCAGCTCCGGAGCACACAGGATGCGCGCGCGTGCCGGCGGAGGAAGAGTTAACGAGCGCTCCGGAGCCTGGAGCCTCCCCCTCGCCCATGGTGGGGTATGAATAGCTCCGAGCCACTCCACTCACATCCACTTGCTCCGGCAGCAGCCGCCTTCCCTCTGCCGGGTGGGAGATTTGGGGAGCGGTGATGCTGAGCATGGAGAACTTGGGGGGCGCCCGAGGCCTGGGCGAGGAGTCCCTGCAGATGTGGGACCTCAACAAGCGCCTGGAGGCTTACCTGGCCCGCGTGAAGTTCCTGGAGGAGGAGAACGAGGTGCTGCGAGCCGAGATCCAAAGCGCCAAGAGTAGTCCCAGTGAGGACTCGTGGAGGAACAAGTATGAGGAGGAGCTGCAGGCCCTGCGGACCGCGCTGGATGATGCCTTCAGGGAGAAGTGGTCTGCGGAGCTGGCCCGGGACAATCTCTACGAGGAGATCCAGCACGTGAAGAGCAGGTGCCAGAAGGAGCAAGCGGCTCGTGAAGAAGCAAAGAAGCTTCTGTCTGTGAGCAAGAAGGAGCTGGAAGAGGAGCAGAGAGCTCAGATCTGGCTGAAGGAGAGAGCCCTGCACCTGGAGAAGGAGGTGGAAGCACTGCTGGAGTTGCACGAGGAGGAGAAAGCAGGGCTGGACCATGAGCTCGCCAGCTTCTCGCAGAGTTTCGAGAGCTTCCGCTGCGTGCCCGTGGCTTTCCAGCCTGTGGAAGTGGAGGACTATTCCAAGAGGCTCTCTCAGATCTGGAAAGGGGCAGTGGAGACCTACAAGACGGAGGTGTCCCAGCTGGAGAGCTCCCTGTGCCAAGCCAAAGAGAACCTGTGGAAGGCGGTGGAGGACAACCAGCAGAGCCAGCTGCAGCTGCAGCACCTGGAGAAGGAGCTGGTGGGGCTCAAGGCACGCAAGGACCTGCTGGAGGAAAGTCTCTCACGGCAATGGCAGGAGCAGAGAGGGGAGGCCGAGAAGTTCCAGGTAGGTGAAGGACATCCCATGGCAGGGATGTCTGTGGGACCAGAAGGGTGCTCAGGGCACCGCCACCCTGGAGAGGTGGAGGTGAAGCCAAGGAGGGAGCAAATCCCAGGAGGAAAAGCCATGGGGAGGATGGAGAAGCTGGGCAGTGGCTCGGGATGTTGCAGCTGCAGAGGAGGAAGTAGGTGGGAGGAAAAGCAGCTCCGGGACAAGAGGGACCCAAGGCAGCACCAGTGCAGAGGATTCCCCTCTGTGCCCCAATCTGGCTCCTCCGCCGGCTGGGAGGTCTTTTCCCCTGGGAACCAGAGGGTTTTCCCGAAGGAAGCGGCTTCCCCTCGTAGCTGCTGGGAGGCAGGAGCGGGGTCAAGCCAGGAGCTTCCCAGGAGGACAAACTCCACGCGGATGCACTGCAGCCCAACAGCAGCAAAACAAATTCAGCGGAGGGGGCTATGGAGAGGCCACGCTGGAGAGAGGGGGCTGTGAACGCCAGGAACGGCCGCGCTGCTCCAACAGGAGGGCCGGGACGGTGGGGAAGGGCTCCCTCTTTGTTCCAGCTCCAGCGGGTGCCGGGAGCGGAAGGGAGCCGTGGAGCTGTTTCCCACGCTGGCCACCCGGCATTCCCATCCCTCCTCCTCCTCCTCCTCCGGCTGCATCCGGCTGCTTTTGCTCTGTCCCCTGTGCATCGCTCTCCTCCGTGTTGTCCCTCTCCCTGCAGCAATCCCTAGAATGCTCCGGGACACAAGTAAGTCCCCGGCACCAAGTCACAGCCATCTCGTCCCCATCCTCCATCCCCCGTGGCAGGAACGGGGGCAGAGCGTGTATTCCCCAAGCACCCGGAGGATGAAGACAGGGAGGAAGAGTGCCCACGGGGAAGGAGAGCTGCCGGTGACACTCAAGGGTCCCATAGCCGGGGGGTCAGACACATGCCAGGCCCAAGGGGGACACGAGTAGGTGGCCAAGCAGCCCCGATCCAGCTGTGCTTGCCACCCACAGCTGGCGCTGGAGGCCCTGGAGCAGGAGAAACAAGCCCTGCGGGTGCAGATCGCCCAGGTGCTGGAGGACAGGCAGCAGCTCATGCACCTGAAGATGTCCCTGAGCCTGGAAGTGGCTACCTACAGGTGAGGTCCCCGCCTGGGCCACTGCGGTGGCCACCTCGGAGCCCCTCTCCCAGCCCGTCCCTTCCAGCCGGCCCTGGACAAAGGGAGCCTGGGAGAGGACTGGGGGGACCATTAGCATGAGAATAGGGGCTGTCCTCGGCCAAGGGGCCTCCCTGGCGAAGCATGATGTCACCCGTCACCACAGACAGGAATCACAGCCCCGGGGGGATGGGACCAGAGCCCTGTTGAGGCAATGGGCTGGGAGCTCTCTTGCAAAGGGCCACGGATTCCTGGGAAAGGGCAGCTCCGGCGGGCAGCCCGCATAAGGTGCTGAGGCTGCCCAAGCAACTGGTTCCCTGCAAGGCAGGAGAGACGGAGCCCAGGGGAGCTCCGTGCGCACTCGTGCCCCACCGAGCGCGCGCCTCTCCTTGCAGGACACTGCTGGAAGCGGAGAGCACTCGGCTGCAGATGCCCACCGGTGAATACAAGCTGGCCGGTGGCTTGCGAGGTAAGAGGGACTCGTGGGGCTCACGGGCAGGCGCGCAGAGCCCCTGCGGTGCCAGGCGGAAGGCACGAGGCTCCATAGAGACGTGTCTTCCCAGCAGTGGTGGCCCCACTGTGATAAGAAGGTGCTAACAGATTCCTGGGCCTGGCTGGAGCTGGTTTTCGGGACACGTCCATAGTGGGATGGACCATGCCAGGTATATCTGCTCCTTTGCCTCTCAGGAGTGTTCTGGGGAGCCGGTTGTCTCCAAGATGAGTATCCCCAGGGCCCCACCAACCTCCCTCAAGTCCCATGGGGTTCAGCACCATGGGGACCATTGCACCAGGTTGACTCCGTGGAGGAGCCCCAGTTCTGGCAAGACCTGGTGCGAGTGGCCCCCCTCCTCCAAATCCCAGCGCGTTCCCTCGCCCTTTTGCAGATTTCAAGCTGGAGATGAAGCTGCAGCCCGTGACGCCCGAGAGCCGGCGGCTGATATCCTGGGATCTCCGTGCGAGTCCCTCCATCTTCCCCAGGGCAGAGACCAAGGTGCTGCTGGCAAAGTCCCCAAACGATGTCCCCAAGGTCCCCACGCCCAAAAGCAAAAGCCCCATTACGAAGGAGTTCCAGAAAATCAACTCAGTTCTTCAGGCACCAGCGCTGAAAGCTGCCAGCACAGCTGCTCGCTCAGTGCCCAGCCTGGGGACACCCAGTGGGGTGGTCCCATCTGCCCGTCCCAGCTCTCAGGAGCCACCCGAGTCCCCAGGTCCAGAACCAAGGGAGGGGGACAAAGATCCTCATGAGGAGCCTCAAGATCCCAGCGAGGAGCCACCTGGGAAGTCGCCCACCCCACAGCTGCTCTATCCTGACCGTCTGGTCACCGAAGCCTTGGAAGATGCTCTCAAGGAGGTGCGAGATGATGCTCAGCCCCAAGAAGAGCCTGTGTGGGGGGCTGAGAGGGCTACAGAGGGCTTTGGGGTAGCGAGCGAGCCAGAGGTCCCCAGCTGGACCAGTTACCCTGTGGAGGAGGTTGACAGTGCCAAGGACACCAATTTGGAAGCCTGCTTGGAAGAGGGGACTGGAGAAGACATGCAGGAGGAGGCAGGAGTGGAGAGCATCACTCAGCAGGACGGGTCGATGTGTCACCTGGAGCTGGGACCTTCTGGTGAGCGGGACCAAGGGACACTTGAGCTTCTTGCTGCTGCACCAAGTGAAAGAGAAACCCAGAAGGAGATGAGACCCTGGGAGGAGAAAGCAAGCCAAGAAGAGATGCTGGCATTTCAGAGCGCAGAAGAAAGGGGAGAACTGGAATTCGTGCATGGCGACGCTGAGAGCCCACCAGACCAAGAGACATGTGCTTCACCCAAGCCTGATGGCGAGTGCTGGGAAGGGAGTGCGGGTCTCCATAGCCCAGCAGCTGCTGCCAGAGGAGGCCTAGAGGAGTCGGAGCAAGGAGATGAGGATGGGGGGAGCGTGAGCATGGAGGCGTTGCACCTTTTGGAGGACAAGGAGAGACCCTGGAGCCCTTCGAAGGAGGAGGAAGAGTCCAATTTCAGTGAAGAAATGAAGGAAGAGCAAGAAGAGGAGTCTCTGCAGCAGGAAATCCAAGCCACTCATGCTTGTCCCATGGAAAGTCACCCAATTTTAGCTGGGGAAAGCCACCCTGGAGAGGATCTTGCTGAGAGAGAGACAGAAAGTTTGGAGCAGCGGGAAGTGCCTTCAGTAGATCCTGCTGCAGACGAAGAAGGGATAGAGGAGATGTACCCAGAACACGAGCCCTCAAGCATCAAAGAGAGCATTCGGGCAGAAGAAGCGTCACCAATGCCTGGAGAAGACCCCATTGGAGAGGAGACCGCAGATGGCCAGGGAGAAAGAGGAGAGCCAGGAGAGGAGGCTGTAGAGGAAGAAGAGCTGGAGGTTGAAGGGAAGACACTGGGAGCTGAAGAGCTAATACAGGAGGAAGGTAGTTCGGAGGAGTCTGCGGACATACAGGAAAACAATTTTGACGATGACGTGGTGGAGCAGGAGGACCTGGAGACCCTGCCGAGGGAGGAAGACCAGAGTGGCAGAGATGGTCACAGCTCCCAAAAGCACTGCCCAGAGGAGTGGGAAAACCTGGGAAATGAGGAGGGCACTGAAGGGTCTCCAGGGACAGAAGATGCCAACATCCCACCCCAAGAACCAGCCGGGGCAGATGACATGCTCACAAGCACAGGAACATCCAAAAGTGAGGAGACAGAGGGTATTTCACTGGCAGAAATGAGAGAAGATGATGATGATGATGATGTTGGGAGTGGAATCAGTCATCAGGAACCAAGGCCACAAAGCAAAGCAGAGCAGGAGATTGAGCCAGTCCCGGGACTGGCAGAGGAAGCCCAAGAGGGCCACCAGGATGAGAGCCCCGAGGTGTCCAGGGATGAGGACCTGCCCACAGCTCCGGAGCTCCCGTGGGAGGAAAGGGCTGCGGACGCTGAAGAGGAGCTTGCTTCAGAGCCTGACGGGCTGGAGAAGGTGGCATCCCAGCAGGATGAGGACGTGCGTAGTGATGAGTCCCAGGAGGAGGATGCTTGGAGAAGGGAAGAGGTGGGGCAGGAACCGGGGACGTGCAAGAGCATCCATCTGGAGGACACACTGCCGGACAATACTCCCCTGCACCTCTACAAAGGGGACATGGAGGCCACGACTGCACCCAGCCTCAACCCTGTGGGTGCTGAAGATGCTACAGAACCAACTCTAGGACCTGAAATAGTTTTAGAGGACAAAGGAGAGGTAGAGGGGAGCAACATGCCAACAAGTCCTTTAGAAGACAGCCATGAAGATGAGGCTGCAGGCATGGAGGCAGCGCCTGCAGCAGAACGTGGTGAGGAAGAGGAAGGTTATTTCATGGTTTCTGCTCCCATCCAGGAGGTCTCCAGCCTGGAAGATGGTGAAATCTCAGAGGACTTTGAAGAAATCAAAGTTGGAGCAGCAGAAGGCATCAGGGATGATGCCGAAGCTCCCAAAGAAGCATCTCCAGTGCCAGAGGAAGAAGAGCATTTTGAAGCGCTTGCCGGTGAGGCAGATGAAGGCAGGAAGGTGCCCCCAGAAGAAGACAAGATGCCAAAAGTCAGGGATTTTGCTGATGAGATGGAGGAAGCCATGGAAGAGCCGCTGGGCAAGGGTCTTTTGGTGGGAAGTTCTGATGAGCTGGAGCAGGACATGGAAAGCCCTGCTGTGGATCCCAGCACACACGAGGAACAAGGGTCTTCCAAGGAGGAGGGTGAGGCCAGCAGAGCCTCCGAGCTTCTGAGCTCCTACCGCTCCGGGCAGCTGGGGACCGAGGAGCCCATCCTGGGGCAGGAGGACATGTCTGGGGACAATGAGCCCGTCCCTCCTGCAGGGCTCCCAGCACCGACGGCTCCTGACACAGCCTTGCAGCCATCTCAGTCTTCAGAAGAAATCCCAGGGAGTGGGAGCCTTCCCTCAGCCGAGAAGGAGCAGTGCTCCGATGCCAACCCACCCCTGGAGAAGGAGTCCAATGACCAGGGGCACAGCGAGCCCAGCCAAGACGCTGGCCCAGGGGCAAACTGTGATGTGGAAGGGCTTGATCTCCCTGGAAAAGCACCTCCAGGGGATGCCATGAAAGCCTCCGATATTCTGGAAATTGTAGAGCAAGCCCTGGAGTTCAACCAGGAGCTGATGTGGGCAGCGAGGCCAGCTGAAGCCGAGCCCCAAGTTCCGGGGAGCATCCCTCCCGAGAAGCAGGAGCTCAATGGGCTGCCTAGCGAGGAGGACACGGATCTTCCCGCGGAGCTTCCCAACGGCATCAGCGAGCTGCCGCTGCCTGCCCGGCAGGAGCACAAGGAGCCCGAGGCCACCTCTGCAGCCGTGCCTGGACCTCCAGAGGGGCCGGCACACGGAGAAGGGGCCGTGGACAAGGCGCTGCTGCTCCGCAGGCTCGCCGGGGCCGAGGGCGCCGCGGCCGGCCAGGGTGACGAGGGGCTCGGCAGACAGCAGGGCCAGCTCCGGGACGAGCAGGAATTGTGGTCGGAGGAGGACGAGTGATGGGGTCACCAACCCCACCCAGCCACCAGGCACCTCTCGGAGCCCGGGCCAGAGTTTCACCATTTGCTCGTGATTTCTTAGCACGTTTGTGTGGATTTTTCCTTTTCAAAGGCAGGCAGGTGGGAGCCAGTAGGTAGCGGAGCAAGGAGCTGGATGCAGTGAACGCCAAAAGGGGCCTCAGTTTCCCCCAAAACAGCCACACAATTCTCCTGGCACCTCAAGCCCTATTGCAATATTTAATTAAACCCTCCATCTTCACCTTGGTCACCTTTTTTTTGGCCTGTTTCTCGTTCTGTCACCCTAAAGCCCTGGACACGCAGCCCCTGGTCGGCACGAATGTGCTGCCATCCCCTCCCCGGCAGTGCGCTGAGCACGCGAGCTGCGTTCACTCCCTTGCTACTAATTTAATAAAGCGTTGGCCTCCTGCTTGCAGCCTTCGTTTCCTCCTTTCCTAGGGGCACCCTTGCGGGGATGGAGGGGAGGGAAGAGGCGTTGGGATGGGAACAGCTTTGCCGTTGGCCCCACATGCTCTGAGGGGGAATTTGGGGTGCAAAAGGCGCTGGGGCTACTATGAGAGGGTGCAAACTGCAACGGGGCTGCAACGGGAGGGGGCAAACGGCATCGGGGCTGCAACAGGAGAGTGCAAATCCCCTTGGTGGAATGGGACAGCAGCACCCAGGTTGCACTGAACCCAAATAAGCCCAAATAAACCCAACAAGCCTGGAGGCGGGAGGCCGGTCGGTGCCCCTTGAATGCATGCGGCTGCAGCCCTGCGCCCCGGCGGGCATTGGGTGGCACCGGGGAGGGCAGCACTATCAATGGCCCCTTTGTGCCCAATGCGGCTGAGTCACCGAGGAGGGGACGTGGCATCACCTCGCGGGCAGAGCATCGCGGTGGGTGCCCTGGGCAGCGCGCCGGGGCCGGCTCGCGGGCTGCCTGCCCGGCTGGCCTTGCCCACGCGCCCGATTTAGCCCGCGGCGCGATAAGGAGCCGCGCCGCTTATCTGGCCTCTCCGCCGCCGCAGCCCCTGGCCCGCTCTGCTCGCCAGCTGCCTTTTAAGGGCAAACTCCCCGACGCTGTGATAAAGGGAAATAAAAAAATAACCGCCGGGATTAGCTCAGCGCCGGGTGCCAAAGGGCGAGCAGAGGAGCTGGCCGGGCTGGGGGCCACCGCGGCGGCGGCTGGCGAGGCAGGAGGTGACATTCCTGCCGAAATTAATACGCATTCCAGCCTGCCCCGGCGCTGACAAAGAGACGAGGGGGGACAGATGGTGGAGGAGGAGGAGGAGGAGGGAGAGGAAGGCTCAGGGGTCACCAGGGTAAGGAGGGGCCAAGGCAGCGGCTTTGCAAACCCCAGGGATTTGCATCTCGCACGGGGGGCAAAGGCAGCTCTGTGCAGCCCGCTACCCCCCTCCCACGCTGCTAAGATCGTGCCAAGAGAGCGGGTTCTCTTTCCTGCGGTGCACTCCAGGCATCTCCCTCTCCAGCACGTCCACAGCTTCCCTTCTGGAATGCGGCACCCACATTAGACCCCAGCTCGGGGCGGCATCCCGCAGCATGCGCACACAAACCGCTCGCTTCCCGCGCGCCGCCGGGCCCCCAAGCGAAGCCCTGCGCCCTGGCCTGGTTAAATGCAGCCAGCCGAGCGCGTCTAATCTAATTTGGGGGGAAAAGAGGGGAAAAGCTGGGGCTGGAAGGGGAAATTGTGGGGCCCCAACGCTGCTGAAGGTCCCATGCAAGCTCTGGCGCTCACCACGGCCAGGCGAGCGCTTTAAGAGCTGCCGAAACCCCCTTGCGCCTTCTGGCCCCCCGCCAGGATCTTGGGGGTTTTGTTTCCTTTAAGCCTGGTCCAGGAGGGAGATTTCAATGGAGCCAGCACAAAACCCCCCCGCAGGGCCAGCCCAGCGCTGCGATGACCTCAGCGATGACTTCATTCCACTCACAGCTCCCAAAAAACACTGCGGGAACCTTATAAGGAGAGGACTAAAAATACCCCCAGAGGGGGCACAGGCTCCCCCTCCCCAAAACGAGCCCTGGGGGATACTAAGTCTATATATTCGGAATGACTGGGGGTGGGGGGCGCTGATGCAGCCCCTCTGGATGTATCCGAAACCCTGCCAGGAGACAGACTGGTCCCAATGGACAACTCTTGGAGCATCCCGGCTGCTGCTGAGCCCCCCGCCCCATCCGCCGCCGGGAATAGCTCCGGCTGGCTATAATAAGTCCCATCCCGTTTTTTTTCGGGGCTCTCCAGCTGCCGGGTCATGACCCCCTATCCGCGCTGCGGCCACAACAGCTGCCGTCGGATTGGGACAAAGCAGATGCCGGCGGGACGAGCCTCCGTCGGGAATGCGCGCCTGGAGCCGTCTGTCAGCACAGGGCGAAGGACGGGACGATTGGCGGCATCTCCCTAGAGAGCAGCACCCCAAAAAGCACCAAAATGGTTTGGGGGTGATGGAAATCACCTCCCCCCCACACACACCAGTGAGCAGCACCCTTGGGTGGGGACCTTGGTGTCACCGTCTTGCGGGATTTGAGCGGATCTGGGGACAGGGGACCAGCCCACGTGCTGCACGCGGGGCTGACTCACCCGCTGGCAAAGGAAACGCCGACAAAAGCGGCTCCTTCCGCCCCGCAGGACTGGCCCAGCTCACTCCACAGCTGAGCATCGCCTTCCGGAGCCGAGCAGCCCGGGGCCAAGCCCTGACTGGGTCCGGTGCCCGCTCTCGGACAAATATCCCGGGATCGGGGATGGAGCAGGCGAGCGAAGGCCCCTCTCAGAGCAGCAGCTTGTGCTGGTTGCATCTTGCAGGAATTTGGTACAACTCTCCCCACCCCGAGCCCCTGCGCAGGTGGGAATGGGGTCGCTGAAACCCCAGTTGGGCGACAACTGCCCGGTGGGGTTGGGTTTCAGAGCCGAGGGGCGAGGGGAGATTTATCGCCTCCGGCCACGGCACATTCGACCCTCCTCAAATTGCCCTCCGGGGTGTGGGGACACAGGGCGAGGACACCCTGCCCTGGAGCCTGCGGCTTTCCCAAACATGGCCAGTGTTTTTGGAGGACGACACCGGAGACGGCTCCCCGGGGCAGCCGGCTGTTGCAACGGGGTTGCTGGTGGCGAAAGGGGAGCGTGTCCCCCACACCCTCCTGTGGGGCCCCAGCCTGCGGGACCCCCCACTGCCTGGCAGTACAACTCACGCCTGCCACCTGGCTGCCCTCGCCTTTCCAGCGCCCTCCTCCTCCTCGCAAGCTCCACAGATTTAGGGTTTCCCTGGCTGCTGCCCCTTGCAGGGGACCCCACACCCCAGGGAGCCCCAGCAGAGCAGCCAGCACCACTCACCCCCATAAACCTGACCAGGTGCTGGCTCCAGGAGGACTCTGCTCCTGCCGCACCTCAGTTTCCCCAGATTTATCCTTCCCTTCCCCAGTTCCCCTCTAGAGCAGGTCAGGGCTGCCAGGCAGTGCTAGAAGGAATTGGGTGCTGACCAGCGCTAACCAGGACGAAAAGGCTCCAGCCAGTGCCGCTCTGTGGCCTCACGCCTGAGACCGGGCAACTCAGCGCACGCGGCGCGGCTGAGACCGGGAAACTCGGTGCACAGACTACAGCTGAGACCAGGCAACTCAGTGCATGTGCCACGGCTGAGACCGGCAACTTGGTGCAGGAACCTCGGCTGAGACCGGGAAACTCGGTGCACAGACCGCGGCTGAGACCGGGCAGCTCGGCGCACGCGGCGCGGCTGCACCACGGCGCCCCCTGCAGGCGAGCAGAGGCGCAGCGCACTCCAATCTTTGCACCCCATTGGCCTTCAAGCCTAGCCAATGGGAGGGGAGGCGTCGGCCGGGAGGCGGGGAGCTCTTCCCTTCGCGGCCAATCGGGAGGCAGTCAGCTCCCCCGCCTTCGGAGGCGGGCCGGACAAGGCCGCGAGCCAATGAGGAAGCTGGGAGGGTGGGACCGGGGCCAGAGGGCGTGGCGCTGTGGGCGGAGGAGGGCGTGTCCCGCGGGGTGGGCTCCAGCCAATGGGGTCGGCGGGGGGCGTGGCCCGGCTTCCAGAGAGTTCGGAGACGGGAGGCAGAGCGGCGGGCGGTGAGTTCCGGGGGGGCTCGGACGCCTGGGCCCCTTCCCCCCGAGCTC